TTATAGGGGTGCACAACAGTCCAACATCAACTTTGTAGCCTATTTATAAGAAAAAAATATTAATAATAGCGCATCTACATTGTCATGTTGGACATGTGTGATAAATGCTAAACTGTAAACTTGTACCTGGCTGCTGCATTAATGACAAGCAGATAAAAAAAAGCCAACCTGAAAAGTATAAACCTTAAATGAACAGTCGCTCAACAAAAACTCAAAAGAAGATCTTAAAAATACTCAAACGTGAATTTTTTCATGTTTCTACCATGTTTAATGCAAGAGATCTGTCACTTCCAGTTTTAAACTGAATATTTTTTTCAGCTATACAGTCACAGTTTGGGGGGAGTTTGGGTGTGTATTCTTTGCATTCTGGCACAACATGAGAGTAAACTGTAAGTCCCATTGAGACAAATGGGTACAAATATTTACAAGGGTTTTTTCATACATTTTTTACATAGTCTAAAAACATCAAAGGAATGTATTTTGTCAGGTCTGCATCCATCATTTACAATATTTGGATAATGAGTATTTTAACACCTTATTCCTCAACTATATGCTTAAAAATCCCAAGGACACATGCAAATTAGCACTTTTAAAGAAAAGAACCCACTAAAGTCACTTTTGTTGGTTTTGGTGCACTGTTAAGACTTAGACCACTCTTTTTTTTATATAAAAACTCAAACAGCTCCTTTAAAAAAATCATTGACTAAAAATTTGTTATGCATTCCTACCGAACACTTTCTATAAGTTTCCTTGATGCTTCTCTTGAATGAATGACTTGTTTAGTTTTCTTGATAAGTAGTTTTAATCCTTGAAAGAAAATGCAAAACTGCTGGCTGACAATTTGAAGTAGTGAAAGCTACAATGTTTGCGAGGTGCATGCCTGTGTGTAATGTTATGACAGGGATATTTAAACACCTGACAGGGTGTCAGCTTGTCATTACACAGTGAAGTCATGTTTTCCAGTGAACGCCTCAGAGTGCAGATCAACCAAGTCACATGTCATTTTGTTAGGTTGCATTTTAAACTATTGGCAGGCAGTGATGTTTCTTAAGGTAAAGAAATGTAACTAAAAATTAATGGTGATGTATTTTCTTCACTTCAGTGCTGAGTTTCACATTACATTTAGAATTTATAACCTTTTTATTTAATCACAACACATAAACAGATTCCTTACACTGAACACTGTTAAAATATACCTTTTATAGTCACTGTAACGTTGCCTTGATGCAGTGTTGTGGAAATCACTGTGGTATAATGTTAGCACACCCTCTAGTGGTTATAAGTATGAAATGTTTGAGACATGATCTGCAGACTCAAACATTACTAATATTTGAGGCCTTGAGCCAGGAAGTTGAACTATACTTTTCAACATTTTGTCTGCTTATTTTTACTTTTTTTGTTTACTTGGGGGTTGATTCTGGTTGGAGATTATCATAAATTTATATTTCAGGCAAATAACTGCATTGACTGATTTTACTGAGCAAACAAAACGCTGCTTCATTCAGTTTTCGAATAGTGTGCTTTTTCATTTGTTTCTGACAAAGAGGCGATGCTTAAATTTTGGTTTGGCCCTTTTAGTTTTGCAGGGGTTTTCTTAGTAGATAAATCTCATGATTTGCTTGACCTGTTCTGTGGATTGTTCGCAAGTCAGATGCTTTTAAATGTTGCCATGTTACTGTGTTGGTCTGCAGAGCTCTCTTTGTGGCATGTCAGTATATGGATGCACACTTCCCAGCAGCAGCTAAATCCCCCTGTATGATGTTACTGAGTCACTGAAGTGTATGACTCATGTGAGGCTGCGTTACATACCTTTACTTTATTTATACTGCTTGAGAAATTCTGGAACGAATGTTGGAAGAGGATGTTATGTTCATATTTTTGGATACAGAACAATGCATGTGTGTTATGATGATCAAAGCAATTGTTTTTAAGTTTATTGAAAAGCAGCATCTGACTCAGATGGACAGCTTCTTCTTCTTAAAAATCTGTAGGATAAGTTTTCTTCTCTTTCAGATCAAATCTGGGTATTTTTTCAGTATATAAAAAATAGAAACTAATGTAGAGTTTTTGGAGTCTAATTTAAAAACTGCATTTCTCTAGAAAAGTACAGTCGATGCAGTCAAAGAATAAATTAAAACTGATACAATAAAGCAGGTTGTCACCAATATTTTTGATGAATAATAATCCAAATGCAATTTAATATGTATCAATTTATAAACTTTATTCTCACAGTAAAAAATAACCCCAAAAAATGATTGTGTAGCAGTTGCTGCCAAAAACGTTTTGTTCCTGAGAACGCCAAAAATTGAAGCATTAGAATAAATAGTTCTGATATCAGTATGTATCATAATAAAAGAAAATACATCAGTGTGCTCATCCTGTAACTTATAGCTGGAAAACACTGTTTACACACATTTAACTTTCTCCTTTAAAATGTAAAATAGCAAAGTCCTCAGTTGCGGAAAAATAAAACATAATAATAGAAATAATAATAAAAATATAAAATGAGCTTTCATTAGGTGTACAGTTTTTCTTGTCACTTGGATTTTTCAGATCTACATAAATGAGAACACGAACACAAACCATGTCAATATATTTTAGTACATAATGGGCCGCATGCAAGAACGTGTTCGTATTCTTATCCTAAATTTCTCTTACTTTTGTTCGTATGAACGGTTCTTGCATGAGGCCCAATGTTAATAAATCCCCATCAAAATGACAAACATTAATACAACTGCCCAAAACCCTTATAAACATAAAGTATATATAGTTATACACAGGACTTCTGTGTGAAAAAGTGAATTTTGTTTTAAAATAAACTGATAAAGTGAGCCACCCCCTATTCTAATGAAAAGTTACTTTTCTTAGTATTTTCTCAGTAAATTTATAATACATATTTCAACATTTATATATTTATACTAATATATAGTTCACTCATGGCTTTAGCTTATATTATTTTAAACCATCAAAAGTCAAATTGTAAATTGACTTGTTTCTGAAAATAGTTTATTTTTATGCATTCCCTAACATTTTTGATCAATGAACTAAACATAAAACATGTGACTAGAAGTTAAAGTCAGAGTATTTTGAACAAAAAAGAACTTGTAGGTCAAACTTATAACAAAGTATTTTATATCGACAAACATATTCAACATTTACAGTCTTCCGTATTGCAGAGATTGTCAAACAGTTATTTGTTGTGAAATCCAGGTGATGTAAAAAGACTGTTGTTCTCCTGTCTGCTTTGTGACCCTTCTGAACCCTCAGACTGGGGGCCTGCTTTGTCGTTGGGTTCGCCCACCTCAGTGGAATAAACACTTAAAATAGTGTCCAGGGTTTCTGACAAAATACAAACCGGCGACTCGCCATCATTTTTTAAAATCTGTTATTTCTGTGTCTTTGTTTCTTCATGATTAAACTCATTTTCATCTCCCAGCTTTTCATTTTTGCTGCCAAGATTCTCCTCCTCCAAGCCGAGCGCATCCCTTTGTGGAAAACCTGCAGTGACGTATATCAAAGTATTTATTTAACATTGTCTGCTCAGGGGCGGTAGTCTAAACCACTGGTTCCCAAACTTTTCAGCTTTTGACCCACAAAATAACAGTAGCAGAGACCTGTGCCCCCAGATATTTTTGGATGATAAACATTTGTATCAGGTCAACAAAACATGGGCATTGTAAAAATATTTTTATACTACATTTATCCATTTTAAATACACTAACCTCACTCCTTTGTAACAACTAAGGCAAAAATGTAATTAATTCTGAAAATCTTTTCAGGACCCCACTTTGAGGTTTCAGGACCCCACTTTGGGTCCCGACCCCAACTTTGGGAAATACTGGTCTAAACTGTGAATATGCATTCAAGTGATTAAAAATGGATAAATAAAACAAGCACTTACCTTTCCTGCTCCTCGATTTGACTTCCTTTTACCTTTGTCGTTTCAGGTAATGGATAATTCTTTGTTTCCTTTAAAGCTTCAAGAGAGCAACTCAGCTTTAGGCAGGGGTTGTGATCGATGGGATCCAGCTCCACATCGCTGCAAACCTGTTAGAAAAGGTAAAACATGCACTATCAACAAGTTTGGATTCCCCGTCTGAACATGAGTGCTTTAATGATGTGTGTTTCAAAGCTGCAGCCTCATGAAATAAAAAGGATCAGAGGAGCCGTGACTTTGGTTTCTCACTGTGTCTGCTGTGGACATGGAGGAAATTCTGTGAAACTGCATTTTGGACGACTGCCTGCTCAGTGTGGAGACCCTGATGGAGAACTTGCTGTGTGACACGGATAAGCAGTCCCTCCTGGGGTGGTGAGCCAGCAAGTGAAGACAAGGGACCTTTTCTGCCAGGGTGTCCCTATTAACGTGTTAGACTCATTCAACAAACATTATAAACATATAACATTATAAAGCTTAAATTGACAGTTGGTTCCACACACCTGTACTTGGAGTGAATGATAGCGTAGATAAAAGGGTTGTAGATGGCTGACGCCTTTGCTATCACAGCAGGTACGGCTTTGGAGTATGGATTGAGAATACTTGCATATCTGGAAAAACAAAATGCTTGACAATAATAATAATATTAATCAAGATGAATCTTATGATCAATCCACCAAACTTTTTCAGAAATATTTCAGGCTTCTCCGTAGATGCTCATAAACTGCTTGTGTCTGCAACCTTCCTACCACTTTTAGACTATGGTGATGAATGCCCCCACCAACACTCTGCATGGATGTTGCCTATCATGGAGCACTACGATTTATAACTAAATGTGAACCACTTACACACCACTGCACAGAGCTTTATATTAACTAAGTACATTTACTTCATTACAGTTCTTAAGTAGTTTCTTTGAGGATTTGTAATTTTACCAATTGTTTTTTAAGCAGCTACTTTTACTTTTATTTCATTACATTTTAAAGCTAAAAATGATACTTTTACTTCTTTTCTTTAGAATTTAATGCCTAGTTACTCGCTACAAAGGAAATGGAAAAAAAACATCATTTGAATTGTCCTCATTTATTTAGGTTGTGTGTAACTCTGCTTTCCCCAAATTGTAACTTGACGCTCATGATCTTTGTGTAACTGATATTGTATGTGTCACAGGTCTCTCTTGTAAATGAGACTACGTCTCAATGGGATTGCCTGACTAAATAAGGAAAAATAAAATAAAATAAAAATAAAACAAAACTTCAAGCCTACAAAAGTCTGACCATTCAGAAACATGTTTAATAAAGAGCGAAGCTAAAATAATCTGGTATATTTACCCAGCCCAGGCGATGAGGGTGACACATGCATAAGGTGACCAGGAAAGCACAAACACTATGATGACCACAAAGGCGATCTTCGCCAGCTTCCATTCGGTCCTAATCGACTGCTGCTGGATCAGGGTCGACTTCCTCACCTGGGAGCCCAGCTGGTCCACGTCTCTGTTTGGACCGGCGGGACGATTAAAAGACGACACTGTGAAAAAGCTGAAAACTACAGCTTTAAAATGCCGTACCTGTTTGCTTGACGAATAGCCAGAAACATCCACAAATAACAGTAGGATATGATGCCCAGAGGGATGAAGAAAACAAAGCAGCACAACATCAGAGTGTAGCTTTTATTAGCCGGGGTGGATGTCACGTAGTCCCACGTACACGAGGTCATCAGACCCTCTGGGATATAAGAACCTTCAACAAGTTCAGCAAAAATAATCTGTAAAAAGTATAAAGTTATGCTTGTTTAGTATAGAACATATAGACTTGTTCAGTGACTTACTCCACCCCAGAAGTGGTGCTAGGCTCCAGGCAAGTGAATACAGCCACACGAGAGCAATAATAAGACAGGTGCGTCTCGCTGAGGTCCACCTTAGGGACTGCAGGGGTTTGGTGATAACGATGTAACGGTCTATAGAGATGGCCAGAAGGTTTATCATTGAGGCGATTCCAAATAAAGCCCCACAGAAAGCGTACATTTTACAGCCTGTGAAGTGCAAACAAGACCAAAAAAAAAACCCACTTCATTAATCATGTTGACAGCTTAAACTGTTTCCAATATTCTGACTTCTCAGACATCAGAAATAAGTTATGCAGTGTGTCATAAAATCGAAAACAATCCATCCATTAAAAGTGAATATAAGAAGAAAAAATACCAGTTTCTCCAAAAATCCACCCTTTGTAAAGAGAATTAACAAAGAAGACAGGTGACTGCGTTATCGCCATGAGGAAGTCGCTGACAGCCAAGTTCATGATGAAGAAGTTGGGAGGAGTTCGAAGTTTCTTATTGCTGAAACACATGGAGATCTCAGATCAGAGGTTTTCACACTGATTTCTCTCTAACATGTTTAAATCTTTTAATATTTCAAATCTTTTGAAGATAGGTTCAGAGGAAAAATTATGAACATTTGGTATCTTACCTGTTGCAGATAGCTCTTTGAATGATCTTAGTTTGGAGAAATATTAAAATTTTGGTAAGATAGACAATGTATTGTTGTTCATATGTTTTTTTTTTGTGTGTGTGTATTTATTACAGAACCCCTTTTCAAAAAGTTTGAATGGTCAGAAGAAATAGACATAATTGTTGTACAGATTTGCCAAGTTTTTCAAAAAGTCATTATTGTTAACTTGAAATCCAAAAATTGTGCTGAAGATGCAAAACAGCTTCAGATAACAAATTTCTCCAAACCTGTTAGATACAAACAATGCTGTTATTTTCATCCTGGTAGAGTTCAGTAAAAAGAATCACATGGATTATAGTGTCATGTGTTCACATTGGCACAACTTTTAGTTGTGCCAGTGTTTGTTCTGTGAATTTCATAGAACAAACACTGGCACAACTTTTAAATAATTTGTTTTTTTAATTACTTTTGTTTATTTGTGGCTTGCATTACAATTTAGTCAACAGCCAAATGCCACCACTATAAATACTAATATTTTTTTTTTGGTTAGCATTTTTTAATTTCCAGGGAAAATCATATCTTTCTTATAAAGTTTACAGTTCAGAGCAATGTTTACAGATATTTATAGATTTTTTTGTGGATTAAACAAGTGCGACATGAGATGTGATTGAGTGTTGTGCCATTTGAGATGGTTGTGCAGCCTCAGATACACAGACTAATGCAAAAAGCATGTCTGCTGCAGGATTTTACTTTCGTCACTGTGTTTAGTTTTACACTTAGGAGTAGCACTGTCGTATGTGTGATCCTTGTTTCTCAAAAAAAAAGTTTAGTAACTTTAAAGAAAAATATCTAAAAAAACATAAACTGAAAGCATTTATCGGTAAACACTTTGCATGAATCTCCAAATAATGAAACTTATTTTCCTTTTAAATGGTGCCACATTTGTAAGGAACATGCATTTGTGGGATGAGCAGTTGAGCTGAAAATGTGGGTTGCGCACATTAAAATTTTGCCAAATCCTCTCAGTTGTTGCCAAATAGTTTATTTTGCTGTTGCTATTGACACCTTCAGTTTCTGGTACCCCAGGTACTTCCAATAGGGGCCCGGTGTAAGATTTATTGTTAAGAAGCATTGTTACAACAAAGAAATAATCTACCAAACATATATATTCTTTGTTTTGTTTTTTATTTTATTTTCATTTTTTATCATTATTATTTTGCTAAGTTCATGAATCTGTTTTAGCTTTGGATCTTGTTTTATTTCATCTTAAAGCAAGGGGGAAAAGAGCTCAGCAATGCTGCTTAATCTACAGATTATTGTGGTTGGAAGAACAAACTCTGATTTCTTACAAGGTAAAACAAAAAATGTTAAAATTAAATTACAGCATAATATATTGTATTCGCATTTCATTTACCCAATCAGTTATGCAAGAACATCAACAGAAGCTGGATTATGAATAAACCCACATTTGATTTTACAGTCTTAATTAAGAAGTTAATGTGATTTTCTTCCTCTTAGTTGTTATTTTTTTTTGTCATTAATGTGTTTTAGTTTATCTCAAAGAGGGCAGTGGAAGTGACAGAATGAATTCCCCCTGATAAAGTCAAACAATACAGAGGTTTTTCACCTAATTAACCATATTGGAGTTTAAAAATAAGTTGGCTGTGAGAAGAGTTGCTTACCATGAAAACGCATACATGACCAAGGCGTTTCCAATAACCCCCACTGCTCCGATCACGAAGACAAAGAAGGCGATGATGTAGTGAACGTGGTCCGGGACGTCCACGTGTCGGTATGATCCATGTTCAACGTCCATGTCTGGAAGTGCACACAGAGGCTGATGTCAAGGTTTTAGTTTTTTATTTGAAATAGAGGTGGACTGTATTTATATAGGGCCTTTCATTCCAAGTCAAAATGATTCAATACAATCTGTGCTCCTGTTTACCCATCCATACGCATCCAAAGTTTTTAGATTCAGGTTTTTTTTTTTTTTTGTAGTCATTTTCTTTGTATGCATTCCCTGTTTCTCCACTATGCCATTTTCTCTCCTGCTTCTCAACCCCGCCCATCTGCTTGCACCTGCTCATTTTTTCTGTTGGGTTTAGCTGCATCTACTTGCCCTCATTCCTTTAGCAATGATTGTCACTGATTAGTCTCCAGATGATTGTACGTTAGCTTTGTAGATATCTGGTAGAGTGCTGTGTGAATGGGTAAATGAGGACACAGATTGTAGAGTGAAGCACTTTTAGTATCCTGGTTGGGTATAAAGGTGCCATACAAGTACAGATAATTTACCATTTACATAGCAGACAGGTGTGGGCCAAATCGGATGTCAAGCTGGCACTGCTGGCATGGCACGTCGTTTGTGGGCCAGGTCTGGCCATACAGTAACTGGCTCGGTTGTGTTTTGTTTATGTGGTGCTGGCACATGCATGGATCACCTCCGGCAAACAACATCTGGGCCACCAACGGGCCATTCATTTTTGTGCTATCTGGACCGAGCGTACCATGTGTGGGCCAGAACTGGGCCCCACATAACTCACCGGCCACTTTATTAGGTACACCTGTCCAACTGCTCGTTAACACTTAATTTCTAATCAGCCAATCACATGGCGGCAACTCAGTGCATTTAGG